GGTCCCGTGGGGTGGGGTTCCGTGGGGTGGGGTTGTGTGGGATGGGGTTCTGTGGGGTGGGGTTCCGTGGGGTGGGGTTCCGTGGGGGAGTAGATGAGTTGATAGCTTTGCTTTATGTAGCCTTTTTGCCTTTTTAAAAAAATATATTTTTATTGATTTCAGAGAGGAAGCGAGAGGGAGAGAGAGAGAGAAACACCAATGATGAGAGAATCATGGATCGGCTGCCTCCTGCACGCCCCCAACTGGGGATGGAGCCCACAGCCCAGGCCTGTGTCCTGACCCCCAGACTGGGAGTCGAACTGTGACCTCCTAGTTCATAGGTCGACCACTGAGCCACGCCGACCGAGATAACTTTTGCTTTTGTTTGTTGTTTGGTTCTGCTATTGCTGTCCTGTCTCTGCAGAGCTGTGCTCCATGGGGAACTGTCTGGTGGCGCCAGCATGGTGGCCCCCGCAGCAGGGCCCACAGGCCGTGTCCGGGGTGAGAGTCCCATCTTACGCCCCAACAAGTGGGGCTGTTTTGCCTGAAGGACACTCAGAGGGGCCCCGGGGAGACAGCACAGCCAGCGTTTGGTGCTCATGTGCAAACGTCTGCCCGAACGTCTCTGGAGCCGCCACCGGCCTGGCTGCCTCGTCTTGGAGGGACCGGGAGGCGCTGTCCCGGCTGCAGGCTCCGCCCTCGGCCTCGGACCCCTGTGCAGAGGCGGGACAGCAATAGCAAAACCAAACAATGCATTGTCATGGCGACAGGGCTCAGTGCGATGTGAGGGAACGGCGTGTTGGTTGGAGTGTCATCCCATACCCCGCCATTCCTGGCGTCCACCGGAAACCCCCCAGAGGCCCAGCGGTCAGTGTGTGGGCGTCGGGCCAGAGGCGCCACCCTGACCCGCCCGGTTCCCGGAAACTCAGAGTCACGCCTCTCCCCGCAGTGAAAGGTCCCGCCAGCTCCCTCTGCACAGAGGCTGACACACATGGACCCTCCCCCGTCACAGATCAGTGACTTAGACGTCCAGGCGCCCGAGACCCGGCAGGTTCAGTCAGAGCAGCAGACGCCGAAACACACGATCTGGTCCCAGGAAGGGCCAGCCGCGCTCTGTGCGGGGCAGAGACAGGGCCGTGGGTGTGAGACGCCTGCAGAAGCTGGACCCTCCGAGGCCTGCACAGCCCCCGCCGCCCCCCTGTGACCAGGAGGCCTGCGGGCTGCCCCCGCCTTGGGTGGGAGCCAAAAAGTCCCCCCAAAGAAGCAAAGCCCCGCGTCTGAGCCGAACGTGTGTGTGGAGCCGGAGTGTGCCCGCTCCACGGGAACCCCCACCAAACAGCTCAGGGAAAACCAGATCAGGGTGGAGTGTCCAGGGCCTGGCAGGGCGCGTGCAAACCTGGGCTCCAGAGAAGTGCGGCCCGGGCCCCGGGGGACCTCCCGCCAGGGCGCTGGAGGTCACAGTCCACAAGCAGCACGCGAGGGCACAGCCCGGACACAGTCAGGGAGCAGGCGCCCCAAACCCGGAAAGGACAGAAATACACCCGAGAAACACGCGGCCTAAAGGTCGTCCGCTCAGCCCGGTGCTGCTCACTGGCTGAGCGTCGGCCTAGGAGCCAGGAGGTCACGGTTCAACACCCGGTCAGGGCACAGGCCCGGGTTGTGGGCTCCATCCCCTTACACCCGAGAAACACGCGGCCTAAAGGTCGTCTGCTCAGCCCGGCCGGCGCTGCTCACTGGCTGAGCGTCGGCCTAGGAGCCAGGAGGTCACGGTTCAACACCCGGTCAGGGCACAGGCCCGGGTTGTGGGCTCCATCCCCGGTGTGGGGTGTGCAGGAGGCAGCCGATCCATGATTCTCTCTTGTCATTGATGTTTCCTCTCGCTTAGTCTCTGAAATCAATAAAAATATGTATTTTTAAATAGTCAGCTTAGAGCACAGGGCAGAGCGGGGAGCGAGCATGAAGGCACTGGTTGGGTCACAGCAGGTCCCGGGGACAGTTTAGCTGGCGGAGGAGGGAAGACACGCGAGGCCCAGCCCTTGGTGAGGGGCTGGCAGGTCCCCCCGCAGAACGGCGTGTGTGACCTGCTTCGGGGACACAGCGTAGAGCCAGGTGGGCACCGTGTGCGGTGGAACCAAGGCCGGGGGGCCTTAGCAACAGTCACATCCCAGCTGGGTCTGAGGAGGGAGGCCGGAGCCTTACAGAGGTTTAGGACAAACAGATTCCAGACCAGAATGATGCAAACGCACAGACCGCAGGGCAGACTGGCCGGGCAGGTTCGAGGGTCAGTCAGGAGGCCACGGTGCCCAAGGCAGATGGAGCAAAAGCCACTTTGAGGCGTCCCAGGGGCCGGTCACAGAGGGCGTGGAGGAGGGGCGGATGGGACAGTCAGTGATCGCGTTTCCGCTTACGGAGAAACAGCCGCTGCAGGTGAGGGTCCTCCCACATGGCAGTAGCCGACACGGTGAGAAGTTTAGAAAGAACCTCCCACCCCCTAAGAGCCCTTCCTGGGAGCGAGTCCTGCGGCAGCCTGCTCGCCCGCCACGCTGCCCCGCGGGCAGGGCTGTCCTCACGCGGAGGTCGGATCCGTGATGTGTTCTCATGAGCGACCCTGACCGCATGTCAGACAGGAGCCGCCCCACCTCCCGACTCCTGAGAACCCACCGTCCTTCCCCTCCCGCACGCGATGACGGTGTTGGTGTCAGACGTGGACACGGAGCGCTTCCCCGCGGCCGTGGCCCGGCCGTGGCGTGTCAGGGTGGACTGTGTGTAAAGCGTGTGCGCGGAGCTGACTGCGTGGCATCCGTCTGCTTCTTTTCAGGGAAACTTTTAAAAGCCGAGGTCATCCTGAGCAGTTTGATCAGCAACAAGGGAGCCACAGGTGAGGGCGTCCAGTCTCCCCGCGCCTCCGCCCTCAGGCCTCCAGGCCCCGGCTTAATGACCCGATATTTTTTCATGTATACGCTTAATCCTGACCCGAGGATAAGTGCCGGGGTCCAACCCCAGCAGGTCCAGGGGTCCCCAAAGGTGTGGATGGAGTCGGCGAAGAAGGAATGACACGGAGACAGCGTTCAGTTGATCAGCAGCCTATCCAGGTTCTCTAGCCAGGATCTCCAGCCAGGTTCTGTGTGTTATTGTCTTGTTAAATCTGTATTTATAACAGTTGATTTTAATCCTATCAATTTCGATTCCAAAGGTTAGGGCTTTTCTTATCTACATTCCAGGGAGTAAAGATTATGTAGCTTAAGGGTGATTAACTACCCGCCTGGCACTTAGTTAAGGGGTTTTATACCCTAC